TGTGGATAATGAGTTTTCGCAAAAGATTTAACATTCCAGAAACTGTAACAGAATCGTTAATTCAATTCATAAAGTTGTTATTGACAGAAATCGGTGGTTCTGATTTTGATGAATTTCCTGGCTCTTTATACTTAGCAAGGAATTTTCTTGGGTTAAAGTATCAACATCATAGCTTTGCGATATGTCCGAATTGCCACAAACTATATAACAAGAAAAACGTGGAAGAATTTCGTCAAGGTGAAAATCTTGCAGTTATGAAGTGTAGCCATGTTGAATTCCCTAATTCAACAGCTAGAAAATCAAAACAATGTCAAGCACCTTTGTCAGAAAAATTATCGTTATTAAATGGTCGTATTTCAATTCGTTCTAAAAAGATATTTCCATTTGCTAGTATCAAAAAACAACTAGAATCTATGTATTGTCGATCTGGATTTGAAGAAGAACTACGCCACTAGTCAAAACGCAAACAATTTGATAACATTTTAACTGATATTTATGACGGACAGGTTTGAAAGAATTTTAAAGAAGCAACCAACGAAAATTCACCCATGTTTTTTCAACCTGAAATGGCTGATTCTTGTCTTGATTTAATGTTAAATTTAGACTGATTTCAACTATACGATGATGTTAACCATAGCACAGGTGTCATTTATGCTGCTATTTGTAATCTTCCAAGAGAGCTTCGATTTAAGTGTGAAAATATGATAATTCTTGGCTTATTACCTAGACCGAACGAAGTGAGTTTACATAAAATAAACCACTACTTAGCGCCAATCGTCAATGAACTGGAGTTGCTTTGGAACGGTGTAACTCTAAATCGTACTTTGAATACCAAAAAATGAGGGAAATACGAGCGGCATTAATACTCATATCATGTGATATACCTGCCGCAAGAAAAATATGCGGCCACATTTCAGCATTTACATTATGTTTTAGATGTGAGAAAAGGGCAAATTACGAAAATCACAAGCATAATTTTGCTGGAATGGATAATATGGAAGAATGGTTCATTGTTAAGAATTCAAATCAGCATCGTCAAGATGCAGTCAGATGGCGTCGTTGTAACTCAAATGCTGCAAGAGATCATTTTGTAAAAATTACTGGTGTAAGATGGTTCGAATTATTAAGATTATCATATTTCGACCCAATTCAATTTTTAGCAATCGATCTTATGTACTGCCTATTCTTAGGCATTGCGAAGTAAATAGTTAAGCGGATTTGGGTTGACGAAAAAGTATTGAAGCCAGAATCTCTAAGAGAGATTCAAAGAAAAATGAATCAATTTCAAATACCAGCTGACATAGGTAGAATTCCAGGAAAAGTGGAATGTAGTGAAGGCTTTGCGAATTTTATGGCCGATCAGTGGCAAACATTTTTTATTATTTATGCTACTGTAACACTTTAGAAGCATCTTTCCAATATAGATAGGAGTATTCTTACACATTTTGTAAGAATTTGTTCGATTTTGGTGAGTCGGATTATACAATCTGATTTAATGAAAGAAGCTTACTAAAGGTTTGTTGAGATCATAAAAATGATCGAGCAAAAATATGGTCAGGACTTTATAACTCTGAACCTTCACCTTTCACTTCATTTGCATGAATGTGTGAAAGATTTCGGACCTCTTTACACCTTCTGGTGTTTTTCATTCGAGCGTATGAATGGTGTGTTAGGTGAGTTGAATTTTAAGAACATATGCCTATTTTTTTTTCTTCTTAAGCTAAACTGGTCTATTTTTTAGGCTCCTTTTCAAATAGTCATCGGAAAATTGAATCAGAACTAATGCGTCGTATTATGAATGATAACCAAATCAATAATATTATTAGTTCCAGAACAGTTTCTACAAAAGGTCTCAATATACTCAATACTAGATCGTCAGTCAGTACAGTTTCAGAAAATGATAAATTTTCTTCAGAAGAAATGGAACGATTTTATTGTATTCACAAAATATTAAAGAATCTTCAATTTCTAGTTGTGAAGCATTTCCAGAAGAAATTCTAGGACCTTCTTCAGAAAATGTTATAATGTTAGATGAAAAGCTTAGCTTAATGATCAAATATTATAAAGTGACATATATAATGTATGACTTTCAGAGACCACTCAGAGAAGGATCTGATGATTCCATCATTATTCGTATTAAGATAAGCAAATTTGGAAGATGTAGAATTGGTTCTGAAATATTCAGTTCAAAGATATCAGCTCGTTATATAAAGAGCTCGTTTGTTTTGGCCAAATTCATAACAGAGAATGAAGAGGTCGATTGTTATTCTGGCCAAATTCAGTATTTTTTTAAACACACAGTTGACTTACCAAATGAACCTGCTGAGCATTTTTTAGCATATATTTTGTGATATCAACCTGTAGGTAATCGATATTATTTCAGTAGCAAAGATGAATATGATACTTGTAATGTTGAGCTTTGGAGTACAAAATTTTATCAAGAATCGCGTGATTGTATTATTCTGATACATCATATTTTTAGTCGATTTATTCCAATAAGCTATCGAATCTCAGACCAGAGTAATGCAAGAGAATATTTAGCCATAAATCCACTTAATAGAAAATATCATATCCGATAAATTTTTGATTTTATACTTCAATTTTTTTATTATTTTGATTTTTTTTTTGATTTTTTTATATATTATAAATTTTATTAATAACATGTTAATAATTCAGAATATTGATAAAATCAGATATAAATCATCATTGACGAATTATAGGTGATTTTAAATTTGATAAAATCAGATATAAATCGTGTTAGCAGAATTGTAAAAGATTTTAAGTGAAAATCAAAATTAAGTCAAAATTAATCTAAATTTTGTCCGATTGGTCACGTGTCCAATTTATTCTATTTTAACTAGTGATTTTAATTAAAAGTACTAAGGATTCAACTAGACTAATCATAATATTAAAAGTTTGCGTTGCTAAAAGGCTTTTGAAATAGAATTATAAGAAGGATAAAGTATATTAAGAGTTTTAATATGATATTTCCATAAATGTAAAAAAAAATGCAGTTATAGCCATTTTGATCCTTTTATAATGTATAATATTTTGATTGAGATAGTAATCAATAAGTTCTACTAAGTTAAATTTAATTAATTAAATATTTAATAAATAAAAATAAAACATAAAAATAATAGTACTTACTCATAACGAAAAGATAAATAAACAATTCACGCTGTTCACAAGGTAAATTTTTTTCTTTATCAAGTAGTTGTTCTAGGTTTTTTGAACAAAACACTCTATATGCTGCATTATTATCTTGGCGATCTAATCTTATAACATTCTGTTTGTATATAATACTATCTTCTTTACAGGATAATTCTAATAGTTAATCAAATCAGACAGTAGAATTTCTAAAAGTAAGTAAACGGGCATCAGATATAGCAGCATTTCTTGCTATTTTTTTTTCATGTTTTAGGTCCTGAATTCGAATTACAGATTCAACTTTAGAGAATACAGGACAGTTAAAATTAATACCAAATTAAAAGTTTCGATGTTAAATATGCCTGTTAATTTTCATTGCTTGTAACAGGTTTTGTGCTTGAAATTCTATAGCTGCTCCATCTGATCCAATGAAAATAATATGTATTTCAAGTCTTGTCAAAATATCAATAAGTTTTTGATGTAATGCACAGCATTATCATTCTTAGCAGTTGGAATTAATGCAATAATTATGAGCAGAAATTTTGAAAGAGGCTTCTGATATACAATAACAATAATCAATTAATTAGTAATTTCTTTATCAGCCTAATTATAAAAAAGAATTTTTAATATATATATATATGATATTGCAACATATGCATATAAGTTACACTGATTAAAATATAACAGCTTATTTAAGCATATGATTTTGATTTTGATTTTTTTAAAATGCATTTCGAAAAATTTATTTTTATAATAATAAAAATTACCTGAAGAATATAAATTCTGATATCTTTCACAATTGCATTCCTTTGTTTAATATTAGAAACTTTATCATATATATCATCATAAATTTCAATTTTACAATCATTACTATCTAAAGTTGATTTAACAATACAATCCAATTTTGATGAATATTATAATCCTGCTTTTAATTTTCTGCAATCAGTCATTGCTATCACTGGACCTTTATAATTTATTATATCTAAAGTCTTTTAAACCTAGCAACATTTTCGTAACAAAGTTTAGGATTATTAATAAAGTCTTCTGAAGCACTATTATAGTGTCTATAATTAATTTAAAATTATAAATATATTTAAATATAAATGTAATACATATAAATTTAATTACCTAATTATATGAATTGTCATATCAGCTAAATTTTGACAAAATAAATCTAATACTTTTAGACTAATACTTCTCAAAATAACAAGAAAATCTAAAAATTCATTAAAACACTTGAGATTTTGTAAGCCTTTATTTTTTTCTTCATGTTCTGTAGCTTGTAATATAATGTAGCAAAGCCCTTTGAATACTGGTCTTTGTTCAAATGCATCTTGGCAGCTTTATTAGTAAGTTCTAACCAAAATCCTACAGATAGTGAATTTTTGTCGGTAAGGAGTTCATTTAATTGTTTAATTTGAGAGTTTTTTAGATATGTTAATAATGGATTATTATCAAAATAAAATTTTAGTGTATGTTTAATATTTTTTGGATCAGGAATAGCAGCTCGAATACGATTCCAAAAATAAGAATTATTACAAATAAGAAAACATAGTAAACAAGTCTGCCCATAAGTTTTTTTTTCACAATTGACTGATTGAACACATTTTTCTAATATAAAAAAGATTATCTTAATTTTTAATTAATAATCAAAAAAAATTGTAAAAAATAATAATTTTACTAAGACAATCAATAAATCATTCTAATTTAGCTACAATTTGTTTATTAAGTTCAATAATTTCATCATTATTAAGCTTCTTAAAATCGAATTTTGATCTATATAAAAATTTATCTGAAAACATTTCTTTTTCAATAACTTCTTACTGGCGTATACCTTCATATATAACTGGTGTTTAATTAATATATGTCTTTATTTGTTCAAAGATAAGTTTAGAACATGATATATTTGGTGTCAAGTTTGTTAATGATAGTGATAATGGTTCTGGAGTAGTATTTTTTGTCTTTTTATTAGGTAAAATAGGAAATAAACCAGGTAGACCAAGTTGTTGTTTTTTATTATTTAGTTTACATCTTGAACTTCTTGAATGTTCATTAAGCCGTGAATTATCATAATCTTTATCAAGTAATACTTTTTGTTCACAAATGCAAAATACTGCATGTTCATTTATAATAGCTTTACAAAAATTATTTTTGGATAAATGTTCTCTAATATATTTTCACTTCATTATGATTGAAGAATACGAGTTATTTTTTTAGAAACTAATCATATATTTGTGTAAAAATATTTTTTAAGAAAAGATTTTTTTTTATCAAAAAAAAATTCATATATCATATATATTATTACTAAAAAAGGTATCAAATTGCCTAAAAATAAATTATGACTCCGTGAAAATCAATCCAATTTGCTAAAACTAAAAAATATGACTTTAAACTAAATTTAGACTAATTTGCTAAAACTCTAATTATAACTTTAGATAAAATTTATACAAATTTGCGAAAACTAAAATGTGAGTTATATTAGAAATGTCCAGGGTTCTAAGATTACCCAAACTAGTCCTGCTAGAAATTTCTGATGCACTTGCACTATGTCGCATTAATACATCAGGCTTTTGTGGTAATGGAGGAGGAGTTGGTCTATTTAGTGCTTCAGATCTTTGGTTCAACACATGATGAGAAATTGGTAAAACCATTTTTTGCCTAACATTAGAAATATAAGCTGGTATAGTATTTTTTGCTATGGTTACTTTAGATTGTACATATATTTTATAGTCTGTTAAATACGTATAATAATCATATGATACCGATGCCAACTTATCCTTTTCTGAGTGTGAAATAAGATTGGGATAAAAGTTCCTGTTGAAGACGCTTCATTTCACCTTTTCTTTTAATATGAATTATTTGTATTGCCAGATTTGAAATTTTCTTGTATCAATCGATTGAAGAATTTCTTTTCTTCTTGTATGTTCATTCAAAATAGTATTTTTAGAAATATATCTCTTCAAGTGGTTATCTTGATTGCAATAAGAACGTCTTGTATACTCTCCAGGTATAAATACTAGGAAGTTGCATACACTACAATATATATAATTTGATAAATGACCGTGAACTTTACTATCACTTTCATATAACTTTCTATACATTATAATAAATCCATTTTTAGAAAGGATTCTTGGGTTCTCTTCTAGTATTTTCCTAAATGAATCATAAATACGAGAGTACTACATTTCTGGTGTTTCGTGATCATATCATTCACTTAAAAGATATAATGCTTTTAATATTCTTCTATATTCTTTAAAGTTTACATCACTATAGCTTACAGAAACTACTTATTGAGACCTACTATCTAAATCCATAATAGTGAATTAGTAGATTATAATAAAAGTATTTTATCGATTTTAGCAATTTCAGTATGTTATATTGATTCTTTATCAACTTATACTAGACAATATCATCATTCAAATTTATACAGATTTACTGGTTAAGAGATTTATTCGCAATTTACTGTTTTTATTAATTTATAGTGATTTATAACAGTTTGTAACAACTATATTATAATAAAATATCGGATTTATTTTTATTTGGTTACAGGCATATTAGAGATTTATATAGGCCATATCTCAGATTAATTTTATATTTACATGCATATGCATAGCATCTTCAGCTAAATCAGCTTGTGATATGACATATATTGTATCACATGAGATCTCCCTGCCAGTTCCTCGATAATTCTAAGAGTGTTCCTACTATAAATCACGAGATAATTGACATGTCTTCTTGCCTTCTAAATATTAGATCTAGCTATATATGGTATTATACAGAATCATATTTATTTTTTTGGGTGTACCATTACATATAATAAAAAAACTATTAGGTCTGATATGAATAGGTCCCAGAAATTGCAAAACTTTATTAGTTAATTTATGATAATCATGCTTTATAATACTACATATAAAAAAAGTGCTAAACTTTAAGAATGCGACATTGTGGCTCAATCTCAAAATTCAAGTATCACATGAGCACTATGTCATGAATTCGCTTAGCTTAATTTTGTCAAATATTCTTCTTAACATGAGATACAACATATTTGATATCACTATCACTTAAATTTGAAATAGTTGTCACTGAAATCATTTTTATTCGTTGAATTAATACTACCTGTTAAATCTTATCATCAGTAATATGAAAAAAAGATCATAAACTTTCCTTGTCTTGTCTGATTTTTTTCAGAAAGCATTTTTTTGTAACTTCTTTTGGAAGCTGATCTTTAATCTCATCATAGAGCTTCTTTAAGGTTTCATACTCTGCATAAGAACTTCTGTAGTGGCAAGACATTTCTCTAGCTCCTCTTTATAGTAGTAGTATATTCTAATAACATCAGTAAATTTAATAATGCGAAGTATTACGTAAATCCTACGCTTCGTAATCTTATGTAAGGTTACGAGCCTGTCAAAAAACTTACGTATCGTAGTACTTCGATATTTTTACGATGTGTAATATTTCAAACGTTTACGATATATAAACTTTGAAGGTTTACGATGCGTAATATGACGAATCGTAGAAATTCGCATGTTTACGACGTGTAATACTTCGATATCTTT